CTGGCGATGGACTGTTTCTGCCCAGCACCTGCCACAGCAGGACCTGGCTCCTGGGCAACGTGGAGGAAGCCTGCGGTGGAGCCCGCTGTGGCCAAGTGCCCGACCACACGCAGGAGCTGTGCTTGGAGAAGGGGGGCGTGCAAAGTGCCCGCCTCCACAGGGTTGCCCTGAGGACTTGCGCCAAGGCCAGGCCCCGTGAAGGGACCGCATGCCCATCGGGAGGCTCTTCGGCCGAGCTCCAGTGCGTGGCTCAGCCTTGCCAATCAGGAGCCAGCCAGCAAACGGGTGGTGCCATCCAGGGCTGCCAACCTGGGAGCTCCGTGGCAAAGCGCTGTCCGCCCAAGACTTATGTGTCCAAGAATTGCCGAACCCTGGGACTTGAATCCAGCCAGTGCCACAGGCAGAGCCCCGACTCCAGTCCCCGCAGACCTCCTGCCTCGGTCACGCCGGGGCCACGGCTCCCGGAACCTCCTGCCAGCGCGTATGAGCCCACCTGCTGCGTGACTGGCGGCTGGCAGTTGCCTAGCGAGTGAAGAGCCAGCGGCCGTGGAGGGGAGAGAACCTTCTGATTTGGACGAATCGATCCCTGAGAAATCCAGTTTTTATTTCTCTAAATACAAATGATTGTGCCTTTGTTTGTAAGTGAGTGAGCATGTCTTCTACTGTTTCCAAAGAGAAAATAATTTTCTTTTTTTTCTCTTTGGGGCCCTTCCAGTGCTGAGCTGGGATGGGAAGCATGTTAATGACTTTAGGTCACTAAGTGTCATAGGTCAATAAAAGTTCAACCAGAGACTAACATGAGCACTTAAAAATCAACATTATACTTAACTACTGGTTATTATCTATGGACACACTTAGCATTGGCTCTGGTATAATATAATAATATAATAAATATAATATAGTATAATATAATATGATATATAATAAATATAATATAATTAATATAATAAATATAATATAATTAATATAATATAATTAATATAATTAATATAATATAATAAATATAATATAATATAATTAATATAATATAAAATATATAATATATAATATGATATGATATAATATAATATATAAATGTAACTAATATCAGAAATCCATATAATATTGGAGTTAAGAGACCTGCAGCCCACTTAGACCTGTGAATTCTCAGGGGTTCATCTCCATAGGAGGTCACCTGTGTAGTTAACAACATCAGAACCACAACCCAAACCTGTGGCTACCCGCTGTCCTCTCACTATTTCATCTTCTGTAGCAAAACACTTCTAATTAACTATGAGGTTGACTCTCCTGCTTGAAACGTGCAGGAGAATTTTGAGTTTCACCTCAGCGGACCTCGTAGGCACACGGTCGCCAGGGGTCTCTGGTGTGAGGAGCTCGCGCGTCGCACAGTCAGTGTATTTAAGCTGTTCCCCCCCCTCATTATGTCTTAAGTGGTTTTTGAGTTGGGGAATGTTCTTTGTATTAAATAAATTTAATTCACACAAAAGTACAAACTTCGCTGTCATGCTACTATTTTGAGCCGATGCTTTTGTGGGTTTTATGTTACAGGTTTTCTTTTCCACAAGACGACCGCAGAAGAAATATTTGGAGGGAAAGAGGTCACACGGCCCCTTAGCACTGTTTGTGTGGGACCGGGAGTCAGAGAACATGCTGGAGACGGGAACGTGCTCAGCATGAAGATCTCCAGCCACGGGGTGGAGCTGGGGGGGCTCATGGATTCGTGGGACCAGCGCAGCCCCGTGGAGCTGGGGGGGCTCATGGATCCGTGGGACCAGCGCAGCCCCGTGGAGCTGGGGGGGCTCATGGATTCGTGGGACCAGCGCAGCCCCGTGGAGCTGGGGGGGCTCATGGATCCGTGGGACCAGCGCAGCCCCGTGGAGCTGGGGGGGCTCATGGATTCGTGGGACCAGCGCAGCCCCGTGGAGCTGGGGGGGCTCATGGATCCGTGGGACCAGCGCAGCCCCGTGGAGCTGGGGGGGCTCATGGATTCGTGGGACCAGCGCAGCCCCGTGGAGCTGGGGGGGCTCATGGATCCGTGGGACCAGCGCAGCCCCGTGGAGCTGGGGGGGCTCATGGATTCGTGGGACCAGCGCAGCCCCGTGGAGCTGGGGGGGCTCATGGATCCGTGGGACCAGCGCAGCCCCGTGGAGCTGGGGGGGCTCATGGATTTGTGGGACCAGCGCAGCCCCGTGGAGCTGGGGGGGCTCATGGATCCGTGGGACCAGCGCAGCCCCGTGGAGCTGGGGGGTGCCCTGGAACATCCCCCTCTCCTCGGGGCAACACAAGGTCTCGGATATTCACAGGCTCTGCTGTCTCTACTCGATGAGATTTACTGTAAATCACAGCGAAGGCTGGAACGATCCCAGGCTACTCACTGCACTAAAATTAGAATATCTGTTGCCCCTGAGAAAACTATTCCTCAGGAAACAGAAACAGGCATCGGCGTAGTTCCTTCACTTTGACAGCTTCGTTGTCCATCAGCTGCTTAAAGTGGGCTTAGCTCCCCTTCACCATCTCCTGGTCCCCAGGAGCCTGGTTTAATTCCTCAGTGAGTGACCAAGCGGTCAGAGCGCCGACCTTGGGGTGGTCGGGGGCGGGGAACCCTACGGGGCCAGTGCTCGGGGTCCCGGGCTGCAGAGGGACTGCCGGGCGGTCAGAACAGTGTCCTTGCTCTGGGCCGCCGGGCTCTCCTCCAGGGGACACCCATCAGTGGGGCCGCGTTCCGCCCTGAAAGATGCCCAGTCAGAGGTAAGAGGTTGCCAGCCTCTCTCAGTGAGCTGAGTAAAGTCTGATGGCCCCCCAAATGTGCACACACTTTAACGGCTGCTAACTCACTTAATTTTCACTCCTTTTCAGGTTTAACAGATTTGAAATAATGGGTGAAGCCAGACTAAGCTTTGAACAAAGAACATTTATCCTAAAGGGCCTCTAGACTTTTTTCATGGGGACACATAAAAGATAAAATTTAAGGTACAAAACCGGCAACAGTTGACGCATTGAAGGTGCAAAACACCACATGAAATAATCCTTGATGTTTGCGATTCTGCTGCTTCGCGGTATCAGCAGGGCCTGGACCAGAAGGGTCATCAGCTTGAAAACAGGTGTTGACAAAAAAAAAAGAATATTCATTTCTGTAGATTCTTTTGAAATTTGAAAATGAATCTTATGTTAATAAACACTGATTTTATAATCATTCAAAGTGTGCGCACATTTTTTGGGGACACCCTGTATTTGTGGTGAAGACCAATCAACTTTTTTGCATGGGTTCGTCTCTGCTCCCTCATTTTTACCACAGTTACATTTTCGTAGATTCGTAATTATTTCTCCCCGTGTACGAGATCTTCACTGAGCTTCCCTCAAACAGTCGAGCAAACGTACCTGCCGAGGTTGCGGATTTACTGAGCCGAGCCGCAGCTGGAACTCAGACTCTCGTTCCAGAGCCCCACCGACTGTCCTCCAAAGAGGCCCCTGTGAGAGGTTCATTAAAAACATTTCAATGGACCAGCACAACAAGTCTTAATGATCCCTGCATGTGCAATTAAAGGCCACATCTAGCACATAAAAAACCTTTATTGGATCCTAAATGTGGCGTATCCTATGTTAATATGCCAGCTACTGTAAACATTCATCTGTCTGCCGAGAACTGCAACTATCTTTCAGCGAAGGTCGGGATACTGTTTCTCTAAAGGTTGGGATACTGTTTCTCTAAAGGTCGGGATACTGTTTCTCTAAAGGTCGGGATACTGTTTCTCTAAAGGTCGGGATACTGTTTCTCTAAGTGGTGCGACTGTAAATGAGGCTGTGTGTCCCCTGTTTCAGGGAGTCAGTGGGTGCCTGCCTATGGCCGTAGCTGCCACGCTCCCTTACATCTCAATAACCGAGTTATGTTTACCACCATTAAAAAAAAAAAAGCTTATTGATTTTGAGAGAGAGGAAGGGAGAAGAGAGAAGCACTGATGTGAGGGCACAGCATCGATCGGCTGCCTCCCGCATGCCCCCCACTGCGGATCAGCCCCCAGCCCGGGCCTGTGGCCTGACCTGGAACTGAACCAATAGCCTTTCAGGGCACAGGACGACGCCCGACCAGCTGCCCACGCTGTCCAGGGCTAGCACCATGTTTTGAAACGTGAGTCAGAATTAAGTCTGCACTGGACGGCAACACTCATTTTATTTTTAAATGTTTTTGTTGATTTCAGAGAGAGGAAGGGAGAGGGAGAGAGAGATAGAAACATCAATGATGAGAGTCATTGATCAGCTGCCTCCTGCACGCCCCCCACTGGGGATCGAGCCCCCAACCCGGGCATGGGCCCCGACGGGGAGTGGAACCGGGACCTCCTGGTTCCTGGGTCGATGCTCAGCCGCTGAGCCACACCCACAATACTCATCATTAAAACTTCCGGACGCCACAGCACACGAGGGGAACAGCTCTAAACGTGGGAGCTTCGCCTGCAGTCCACACTGAGGCCATCCTGCCCCTCAGGACTCAGCAGCTGCCGGGCCCCAGGGGGCAGAGTCTGCCTGGCATCTGGTAACTGCCTCCTGCACGTGAGCCTCTGAGTGCCCTCTGCTTGGCCACCGGCAGTCGCTGCAGACCCGGCTCGGGAAGGACGGCCAGGAGCCCGGGAGGGAGCCACCAGCTGCGACCGACACACCTGCCCAGCTCCCAGGTCACCCCCACACCTCTCCAGGGTGCTGGGTCCCAAACCTGCCGCCCCACTGGTGTCCACCGCTCCTTCCAGTCTTTATTCGTCCACAGCAACCTGTGCTCAGGTCTTCGTGCCGCGTGGACGGTCACTGCTCTCACGGCCGCCCACCCCTGGGGCGTCCGGGCTCAGCCGCCGCTCCCAGCTGGGGCCTAGCGGCTGCTGACCCCTAGTGGACGGCCTTGGCTTGTCCACAGACAAGCGGCAGACGGAAGAGCTTTTGCCCCCGAGTTTCATCACCAGTCACATACCTTGAGGCATTTTGAGGAATCCCTCAGAGCTGTCGATTCCTAAATAAGGTCCCTACGTGTCTCTACCGGGCCCAGTTAGGAGAGGTGGGCCGTCCCTTAGAAGACCACATCGCGTGACTGTGCTTTCTGAAGGAAAAATCTGGCATCGCGGTCCATCGCTTCAGTCTTCAGACTTGACTGTTTATTAACTAAGCCACCGTTCACATTTGTCCTTCCATCTGTCATTTTCAATGCCCTTTACGCCTTTGAGCTGTGTCCTCCCTGTGGCGTTGTTTATTTATCTTCTAAACACTTTGATGAATCTCTATGAGCGACTGCTGGAGAAATGCATAAATTTGTCATAATTTTTTAAAAAAGTTATCTTTATTGTTGAAAGTATTACAGATGACCCCCCACTGACCCCACACTATTGCCTGTGTCCACGGGTCACGCACATGTGCACGTAAGTTCTTCCGTTAATCTCTCCCCCTTCCCTCTGAGATCCCCCATCTGCTCCCTGCTTCCATGTCTCTGCATCTATTTTGTTTGTCAGTTTATTTTGTTCATTAGATTCCACGTAAAAGTGAGATCCTGGGATAT